AGAGAACCCTGATTGCTCTTTGGGCTGACGAGGAAGGGGGACTTGATTGGGGGAGGGGGAGGGAAAGGGGAGGCGGCGGTGGGGAAGAGACAGAAATCTTTAATAAATAAAAAATATTTAAAAAAATAAAAGATGTATTAACTATTAAATTAAATTGTGTTGAGCTCTATATGCATGAAGAATCCCAAATAAGCAAAATAATAATAACAGCCTTTATCATTAAATTCTCCCCCCCCCCCATTTCAGCTTCTAACACTATCTTTAACCACAGAGGACACAGGGCTTTGTATTCCACTTGGTACTATGTCTCTCGGTATTAGCATCTAGGATGCAATACGCACTATTTCTTAGATTAAATTTGAATCCACAAAATACAATTAAATTTACTCCACCTATTTTAATAATAAACATTTGCCAGAGGGCAAGCAAGATAAATGTTTATAAAGCAGATACTATCCATTATCATCAGTAGGGCTGGCACATCATGGGAGCTGTCCACAGAATTAATACAGGATTACACAGAAGCCCTGTCCTTACATTCACAGATCCAGTGGCATTCATTTGATTAATAAAAATTTTAAATGTGCATGTTAAATATTGTCGTAAAACAATGTATAAACAATTGCAATTACGAACACTATTAATTAACTAGAAGACAGAAATTTTATGCCATTATGTGATAAAGATCATTTACTAAAGCCGGATGGTAGTGGCACACACCTTTAGTTCAGGCAATATGGAGCAGAAGCATATGGATCTCTGTAAGTTGGAGGCCAGCCTGGTCTACAAAGCACGTTACAGGACAGCAAAGGCTACACGGAGAAACCTTGTCTGAGGGGAGTGAGAACATTAACTAAAGTCATAAGAAAATCAACAAAGAGCACAGACATTTTATAAAAGGAAACTCCAGGGACTGCAGAGAAGGTTCAGGGGAATGTGCTTGCCTAGCAGGCTTGAGTTCAGAAGCTCAGCCCCCACAGAAGAGCCCTGCATTGTCGGGCACATCTGTAATCGTGGGGTGAACAAGAGGATCTTGGAGCTCACTCACCAGTCAATCTAGGTTACTAGCAAACACCTAGTTATTGAGAGAACATCTCTCAAAAGATAAAATGGACAAAAATCCAAGACTCTAAACGTTGATTTCTGGTTTACATATGTACTAGAAACACACACACACACACTTAAAAAAATGAGAACCTGGTCAATGAAATGTTTCAGCAGTCAAGATCACTTTTTGCCAAGCCTAAGATCTGAGTTTGAACCCAAGTATCCACATAGTGAAAACAGAGAATATGGATTTTTTCCTCTGACCTCCAGAAGGCACAGAATTGCATGTCTCTCCCAACCCACCACATAAAGAAGTAAGGACTCAAAATACTACAAATATGTTGAGGAATCTCAAGTCACTTGTAAATAAAGAAATATTTGTAATGGCAAATATTTCCATCTATCCTACAGGTAATGCTAACACATATGGGTGGGAACATGGAAAAATTCTTCTATTTCATGCCACAAGTTCATCCTGTTTGTACTTTTGCCTGCTCTCAGCATTGCTTACCTCCTCCTCCTCCGTGTCGGGACTTTTGTCTGGCTTGATCTTGTACTGGTCTATGTCACAGATAAGAATAATACATAATAATCAAGCTGTATTAGAAATATACATATGATATTTGGTATCCCAAATTAGCATATTTCAGATGAGGAGAAAGAGAGAGAGAGAGAGAGAGAGAGAGAGAGAGAGAGAGAGAGAAAGAGAGAAAGATAACATAAAGTTAAGTTTATAGAAAGGTAAGGAGTATCTGGTAGTAGTTAGAAAGGAAAGAATATGACTAAATGCTTTGTATGGAAAATTTAAATAAAACTATTTAGGAGGGACTTTATAATGTAAAATACTTAGAATAGTAGGCCAAAATCTTTTAACTATGTGTGACCAATTGAAGATTGGTGATAACCAACAAAATGAACTCAAAGATTTTAAAGAACAGGAAATAACCACTATAAACACAGAGTGATAATTGTCCTCAGAAATACCAGTAAAATTGCCATAAACAAAAGAACACTGCTGAGAAAGAAGCACGGCCTTAAGGCCTGGAGAAAGGGACAGAAGGGAACAGCTCACAAGCAAGAAAAGCTGTGACAGGTAACAGAATGTGACAAATAGCAGCAAAGTAGTAAATTCAAAAGTTGACAACATGTCCAAATTCATGTAAGCTCATTGGTTTTTAACTCTGTAAGGTTGATCCAAGAAGGAACCACCTCCACAGTTCTATGATATTGAAAAGAAGTCACAATGTAAAATATTCTAAGTACAGAATGTTTCTATTAGCTTTATTGAAATTTCTGCCATACATTGAAATTAAGGTCTTTTATAGTATTAAAACTTTTCTAAAGAATATATAATGACATTATTCAGTTCATTAAAAATTTCAAAAAGACAACAATTTTAGGAATCTCAATACTTATCTTACAATATAGAGATTACTGTATTTCTTCCAACATAGAAATTTCTAATAGAAATGAGGCGTGTGATAACAATTATAGCAATATCCAGCACTGCACAAACCAAATCACAGACAAGCAACCAGTTAGTTTTACCCAAGAAGTGGAAAAGATTGTTTATTCAGAAAATCTGCAATAGCATTTACCACATTGAAATATTAGTGGGAAAAATCACCTCAGAACCAGAAGTCACAATATTCATGATGAAATAAAATCATGACACTTAAACATGACTTACAAATTGCCACTAAAATGTTATTTAAAAATTTAGATATCATGATGAAACATAGACAAACTTAATAAATCCTAACTATCTACCAAAACAACAAATATTCCTTGTGTTGCAACATCAGAAGCATTCCCTTTTTAAAGAAATAAGGGTAAGAATGCCTGTCACATATACAGCAACTTTCTAGAGGTTCTAAGCAATATGCAATCATAAGTAAAACGAAAATTTCCACCTCTAAGTGAAAACCATCATTATTCACAGATGATATCGTTATTTACTAAAGAAATTCCACCAAACTACAAACCATAAGGGAAAAAAAAAGCTTAAAAGGTAATAACTTCAGATTAATTCCTGCTAAGTAAATGTGTTTTCTATACCAATCTCAGACCACAGTTTTACTTAGGCACTCATGCAGGTGTGCAGAAACAGGATGTCTGTTTTCCAGATGAGTCTGTCGGCCTGGAAATGTCACAGGAATGAATAAAAAGCTGCACGTTCTTGCTCTTATGGAGCTGGTATTTCAGTGACAAGGACTGCAATGAACAAGCTGATCAGCATGGCATATCATGTAAAACAACGCAAGGGCACATGAGTGAAAGGTGGGGCGGGAAAGAGGTGCAGGAAGCAGCAAGGGATAAGCAAGCACATTCCAATTTACACTGTGACGGGAGTGACGGTGCAGACTTGATTCTCAGTACTGAAGAGGCTGAGGCAGGAGGATTTCATGTGTAAGACTGGGCAGAGCTACATCATAAGGAGACCCTATTGTAAAAATAAACAATAATCAAAGATAATATAGATTGTATAGCTATGGAAAATATTAAAGAAATTGGGCTAACTGGGAATAATGGGATGAGACTTTAATATATCCAAGTGAACAACCCAAACAAAGAAAGCCTCAAACTCAAATTCGACAAGGCAGGAGCATATATACAGTGTTTTAGAAACTCATAGAAGCCTGGAATGTGAACGCAATATATAGCAGGAGAAAAGAGAGGTAAATAGTTGGGAATACAGCGAGCCTCAGAAGCCATCATGCTTGGAATTCCCTGGGACTATGATTAAGACAGACTCTGAAAAGATTTCAGCAAAGAAATGTTATACGTTGACTCCTTTTAGAATAATGGCTCTAGCTACTGTGTTTATAGGAAAATAAGGACAAAAGCAGAGACTAGCAAAAAAATTTCTGCAATAATCTTAGTTACAGATGAAGGACATGTAGCAAGAGCCAGAGTGAGGGCTGGTGATAGGGGAGGAGGTATTAGGGAAACGGCTCTGGTGTTACGAAAGGAGAGATCATTTTCAAGAACATAGAGAAATAATTTCTTTCATATCAAAGGGGAGAGGAGACAGACAGATGGACACCCGAGGCTCAGGATAACTGCCGAGGGCTTAAACAAAGGAGCTGAAAGGGTAGCACTTCTATTAACAAATGTGGAAAAGTGGGTGGAGACAACTGTGGCAGGAAATAGGCTGTTGGGTACTTAAAATCAGAGCTTAGGAATATGTCAGCAGAACTCAAAGCCGTGTCACACAGAGGAAGTGACAAAAGACATACAAGAACTGAATGGTGATCTACATGCAGGGTTCAGGAGTGAGGCACAAACAGTAAATGATAGTAAGAGTCATTTATGAGCAGCAGCAAGGCCTAAGAAATGGCTGTGAGAATGAGTGGCCGACGATGATGAACTGTGCTCACTGGGGACAAATGTCAAGAAGTTCAAAGTTCACAGTGTTAGAAGCATTACGAGATAATTTAAATCATTAAGTGTAGGGTCAGAATCATAAAGAAAATGGCAATGTCTCCGGGATTCATTGCTTTCCATTTATAAAAATCACTAGAGTTGGATGGTGGTGGTGCACACCTTTAATCCCAGCACTCGTGAGGCAAAGGCAGGCAGATCTCTGTGAATTCAAGGCCAGCTTGGTCTACAAGAGCTAGTTCCAGGACAGGCTCCAAAGCTACAGAAAAACCTGGTCCAGAAAAACAGGAAGAAAAGAAGAAGGAGGAGGAGGGAAGAGGAGGAGGAGGAGGAAATTGAGGAGGTGGAGGAGGAGGGGGAGGAGGAAGAAGAAGAAAAGAAATCACTAGAAACGATGTGCTTGAAATAAGCAATTATTATGACTGGGATAATCTGATCAAAATGAGAATCCAGGAAGGGAATATTCAAGAAACAGGGAAGGACCATGGTTGGAAGTAGCAAAGGAAGTAAAGGTCCAGAGCACTGACTGAGTCTAGAGAAAATAAACACCCCAAACTGCACTTTCAAATCATGGCATGCTGGAGCTGGCTCAGGAGGCTGACTGTGAATACCAGTCTCCAATGCAAATTCAGCTACATTAGATTGTAGCTTCAACCACTGAGCTGTATTTCTAACACCATCACCTCCCCTCATGCTGCTCTTTAAGAAACCAACTCCTAAACTCTTGCCAGGACTCCACTGGCTGCACGGCTATTACTAGGAGCAGCTAGATTTCCAGTGGCACAGGACAGAAGGAACACTACAGCGGAACAAGAAAACTGAACTTGAGGCCATGAAGTACCAACAGTTTCAGAAGTTAGGGAAAGAGAAATTGATTGGTCAGGAAGAGTGATGTGGTGAAATTAAAGTTCTGAAAATATATGATGAGTTGGGAATCTTGGGTTCCTTCAGATGTTCAGAAGAAAATAAAGAAAATGGTATGATGCTGATAAAAGACAGTACAGAGGGACAATGAAGATGTACTGCTCAGAATCTTCCATTTGACTCTGGCTGGGAGAGCCAAGATGACCTGCTTGGTCTTATTCTGGGTGTCCCTGTACTTTGATGTCTTTTGCTACTGGAGCTCTGCTGAGTCGCGATCCTATTCCAAGTTTGAGAGTTCCTGCTCTGCTCCTGCTGACGGAGACATGGAGTTGGGCAGAGTGATGATCTTGTACTGACCGTATTAGCACCCTCTTGGAATCTGTTGGAGAAGGCCTTGAAGCCAAGAAAGAAACAAGTCATTGATTTTTAAAAGATCACTTACAACAGCTAAAGTATAAAATACTTGAAATTAAATTTAGTACAAACAAATGTAAGATCTGCATGGAGAAAATGTTTTAAAAGTTAATGCAAGACATTAAAAGAAAATGTGAGGCAATTAATCACAGAAATTTAAGCAGTAAGAGACCCAATGTTAGAGAGATGGAGAACCTTTTCATTGATGGATAAGTCAAAGATACACTTTCTATAAAAGTTAGGAGGAAAAACGTTTTCAAATTATACACAGAAAAATAAATGTATAAGAATAGATAAAAATGCTACTGAAAAAGAATAGGGCTAAAAGATTTTGGGATATATCCAAACATTAAATATAGATGAATTATATATTATATAATATCAATATAATACTATAATATACCACATTATATTATAATATACAAATGTAATTTGTATAATATATATAATGTAATAAATACAAGTTTACTATTCCACAGAAGTAAAAAAAAGAAATGGAAAGTCCAGAAAGAAAAACATATCCACATGGAATGAAACAGGTTTAAGCAGGACACTGTTAAAATAATCTATGGGACTAAAGGAAATTGTAAGAAAAATAAAAATACTAAACACTGAAACATGAGATTAAGCTAACTATTGCTGAGAAAATAAACAACAAATTGTTACTTGTATTGTAGACTACAAAATAGTTCAATTGATAATATGAGTTCTTTCCTCAAAAACAAAAAAAACTAGTAAAGAAAAGCATAATAATTTCAAACTAAAGCAATGATAAAATAAAGATAAATGTAGAAAAAAGTGACATTGCAAACAGGAAAAACATACTAAAATCTAATGGATCAAGATACTAATTCCTTAAAAAGAAACAGTAAAACTGATAAACACCTATGTAAAAACATGAATAATTGAAAAGAAAAGGAGACTAAAATCACAAGCAAGAATGGAGCAGAGGAAATGACAATAGATTCTGCCATCTCTAGAAGAATAGCAAAATGATATTAGTGGCTTATGACTGTAAGACAAAAAAACTTAGATGAAACAGAACAATTCCTTGTTGACACAAACAGCCAGAACTCATTTAAAGAGAAATATCCTAATATAACCACAAGATTATTAAAGAAGCTGCGCTAGAAGTGCTCCCAAAAAAGAAATCTTGAGGTCCAAATGATTTTATTGATGAATTTACTAAATTTTTACTGTTTTTTCCTTCTATTTATTTATTTTACATTCCAACAATAATTCTCCCACCCACCCCTCCTCCTGTCCCCCTCACCTTCCCTACAGGCCATGCACCATCCATGCCTCCCAAAGGATAGGACTTCCCATGGGGAGTCAACAAAGTCTGGCATATTAAATTGAAGCAGGACCAAGTCACTGTCAGGGCTGAGCATGACATCCCTCCATAGGGAATGGGCTCTAAAGAGCTAGCTTGCACACCAAGGTTAGATTCTGGTCTTACTGCCAGGGACCCCTCAGATAGACCAAACTATACAAATGTCACCCACTTGCACAGGGCCTAGGCCAATGCAGTGCAGGCACAACTGGCAGTCTAGATTTCATGAGTGCCCAAGAGCTTGGTTCAACTGCGTCTGTAGATTTAGCCTTCATGATCTTGACCCTCCCCTTGTTCATATAATCCCTTCTCCTTCTCTATTCCACTTGATTCCCAGAGCTCACCCTGGTGCTTGGCTGGGGATCTCTGCATTTGCTTTCATCACTTACTGGATGAGGGTTCTATGATGACAGTTAGGGTATTCACCAATCTTAATACAGGGGATGGACAGTTTGGGCACCCTCTCCACAATTGCTAACAGTCTTAGCTGGGTCATCCTTGTGGATTCCTAGGAAATTTCCTAGCATCGGGTTTCTCCCTAACCCCATGCTAGCTCCCTCTATCAAGATATCACTTTCATTGTTCTCCTGTGGGCTGAATCGAGCATAAAGGAGGCTGGAGTGGCCAAGTTAGTAACAAAACTGTGACAACTATGCCAAATGCGTAACAGTTAGAAAAGGGGCCGATATTCAAAAAGTAACAACACAAAGCCCTTGAAGAATACTCCCAGCCAAGATGGTGCTGTAGGGGAGCAAGCAGGGAGGAGATCTGACTTGTTTACAAAAAGATGATTGGAGTTAGAGATGAGGTAAGATGAAGTAAAATCCCTGATGCCCTTGTTATCCTCAGTAGGGGCTGTAGGAACCCCAGCTCATGCAGAGGTGACAGCTGATGAGATTAGCTAATTTCCCTTCCGCTTCTTCTGGGATGTATAGGTTCTCGCTTTATAAATTGCATGCTGTAAGGAAATAAATGAGTTCCTGCTTGACTCAACTCCCTGCTGCATCTGATTGTCTCAGGGACACGGGGGTGGAGGTGTCTACAGAAGGACCTCCCACTCTTCCACTCCATCCCTCCCACAGCTCGACCACCCTGATCCATCATTTTCCCGTGCCCCCTCACCTACCCCACTATCGCTCCACTTACTTTCAGTTTACCTGGGAGATCTTCATGTTACCCTAGCTTTTCTGTAGTCTGGTTATCCTTTGCTTTACGTCTAGTATCCACTTATAAGTGATTACATATCATGTTTATCTCTCTGGGTCTGGGAAACCTCAAACAGGATCATTGTTTCTAATTCCATCTATTTGCCTGCAAATTTCATGGTGTCATTGTTATTTACAGCTGAGTAATACTCCATTATGTAAATGTAGCACATTTTCTTTATCCATTCTTTGGCTGATGGACATATAAGTTGTTTCTAGGTTCTGGCTATTATGAACTATGCTGCTATGAACATTTTGATGAAGTGTCCTTGTGGTATGAATGTGCATTCCTTGTGTATATGCCCAAGAGTGGTATTACTAGATCTTGAGGTAGGTAGATTGATTCCCAATTTCCTGAGAAACTGCCGTACTGATTTCCAAAGCAGTTGTACTAGTTTGCAATCCCACCAGCAGTGGAGCAGTGTTCCCCTCACTCCACATCCTCTCCAGCATAAGCTGTCATCAGTGTTTTGCATTTTAGTCATTTTGATTGGTATAAGTCATTTTGATTGGTATAAGATGGTATCCCAGCATCATTTTGATTTGCATTTCCCTAATGATTAAGGATGCTGAGCAATTTCCTAAATGTCTTTCAGCCATTTGAGATTCTATTGAGAATTCTCTGTTTAGATCTGTACCCCATTTTAAATTTGATTGCTTTGAATTTTCATGTCTAGGTTCTTGAGTTCTTTATATATTTTGGAGATCAGCCCTCAGTCAGATTTGGGGTTGGTGAAAATCTTTTCCCAATCTGTAGGCTGTCATTTTACCATGTCCTTTGCCTTAAAGAAGCACTTCATTTTCAGGAGATCCCTTTTATTGATTATTGCTTTCAGTGTCTGTGCTACTGGTGTTACATTTAGGAATTAGTCTCCTGTGCCCATACAATCAAGGCTACTTCTCATTTTCTCTTCTGTAAAGTTCGAACTTAAATTAAGGTCTTTGGACTTGAGCTTTATGAACAGTGATAGATACGGATATATTTGCTATCTTCTATATGTTGACATATAGTCGTGCCAGCACAGTTTGTCGAAAACACTTTCTGTTTTCCACTGTATAGTATTAGCTTCTTTGTCAAAAATCAGGTGTTCAGAGGTGTGTGGATTAATATCCAGGTCTTCGTTTCAATTCCATTGATCAACCTGACTGTTTTTATAACAATACCATCTGTTTTTATTGCTGTAGCTCTGTAATAGAGCTTGATGTCAGGGATCGTGATGCCTCCAGAAGTTCCTTTATTATACAGGATTGTTTTGGCTGTTCTGGGTTTTCCACTTTTCCATATAAAATTTACTATTGTTCTTTCAAATTCTGTGTAGAATTGTATTGGGAATTTGATGTGGAAAACTTTGAATCTGTAGATTGCTTTTGGTAGGATTGCCATTTTTATTATGTTGATCCTACTTATCCAAGAGCATGAGAGATATTTACATTTTCTGGTATCTTCTTCAATTTCTTTCTTCAAAGATGTAAAGTTCTTGTTGAACAGGACTTTCACTTGTTTGGTTTCTGTTACCCGAATATATTTTATGTTATTTGTGGCTATTGTGAAGAGTAATGTTTCTCTGATTTCTTTCTCAGCTACTTTATCATTTGTATATAGAAGGGTTATCAATAATTTTTAGTTGATCTTGTATCCTGTCACATTACTGAAGGTGTTTATCAGCTGTTGGAGTTCCCTGGTAGAATTCTTGGGATTACTTATGTATACTGAGAATAGCGAAAGTTTGACTTCTTAATTTCCAATTTGTACTCCCTTCATCTCCTTTGGTTGTCTTATTGCTCTCTCTAAAACTTCAAGAACTATGTTGAACAGATATGGAGAGAGTGAACAGCCTTGTCTTGTTCCTGATTTTAGTGGAACCACTTTGAGTTTCTCTCCATTTAATTTGGTGTTGATTGTTGGCTTGCTGTATATTGCTTTCATTATGTTTAGAAAGATATGTTCCTTGTATCCCTGCTCTATCCACGATGGTTATCATGAAGGGTGTTGGATTTTGTCAAATGCTTTTTCAGCATCTAATGACATAATCATATGGATTTTTTTCTTTCAGTATATTTATAAGGTGGATTACATTGGCAGATTTTTGTATATTGAACCATCCCTGAATCTGTGGGATGAAGCCGACTTGATCATGGTAGATATTTTTTATGTGTTCTTGGATTCAGTTTGCCTGTATTTTATTGAGTATTTTTGCATCAGTGTTCATGGGAGAGTTTGGTCTGTAATTTGCTTTCTTGGTGGAGTCTTTATGTGGTTTGGGTAACTAGTCTCAGAGAAGGAGTTTGGCAATGGTCCTTTTGTTTAATTATGTGGGTCATTTTGAGGAGTATAGGCATTAGCTCTTCTTTGAAGTTCTGGTATAATTCTGCACTAAAACCATCAATCGGGTCCTGGGCTTTTTGTTTTGTTTTGTTTTTTGGTTGGGAGACTTTAGATG